TGACCTTCTGGTTCATAGGTCAACACTCAACCACTGAGCCACACCGGCCAGGCTAGACAAACATTTTCTTTTTTCACACTTTATGAAGATGATAATAAGCCTTTTCATGAAGAACTGCAGAGTCAGTGAATCAGTCACTGGAAGCTGAGGAGAGAGACATGCACTATCTGCTCTGTCACTATATCATAACATCCACGAGCACTCTGTGTCCATGTAATAGAATGTAGCTACACGCCGACTGCAGGGCGGTGCTTCTTCCCAATCCAATAGGAGGTGATACCTGGGCTCTCTGGAGGTCTCCTGGATCTGAGAGGCTGGCGACCTGCCTTTGGTCTGAAGGAACTTGTAGGTAATCAGAGATGGTGCTACTATTGATGGGACAGCAGGCCCCACGACACTGTCACCTTCGTGACTTCTCCCTAAGGCAGCTAGCACAAAGAAAGGCAGTCTCATGGAATTCCTTAATTAGGATGGCAATTTCAGGAGGTAAAAAACACTAATAAAACATAATACTCAACTGTGAGCCTTTTGAAGGCATCTACGATTTACACATCCTAATTCATTTAGAAAAGAGGAATAATGCTGAAGTGTGCTCTCTCAGCATCAGGTGACTAGATGGACTGCTTTTGTTTTCCCAAATAAAATAATCTACATTATTTTGCATGAAATAATTTGGATAAAAATAATTTGAGTAACACCAGTTTTTCTGGCTTTCTATAAAATTCACTTTTGCACAGAATGATGTTGGTGCTAACATTTCATAAAAATGGGCTTTTACTGCCTTGACCAGGTGGCTCAGTAGGTTGGGCATTGTCCTGTGCACCAAAAGGTTGCTGGTTTGATTCCTGGTCAGGGCACATGCCTGGATAGCAAGCCTGATCCCCGGCAGGGGTCATGCAGGAGGCAGCCAATTGATGTTTCCCTCACATAGATAGTTATTTATCTCCTTTCCCTTCCTCTCTCTCTAAAAATCAATAAAAATATTTTAAATGTTTTTACTGATATTTGTTAGAGAGAAAGGAAGGGAGAGGGAGACAGATAGAGAGAAACATTGATGTGAGAGAGAAACATCCTATATGCATCCTGACCCAGGACGAACCTGCAACCTGGGCATGTGCCCTGACTGAGAATGAACTGGTGACCTTTCAGTGCATGGGATGATGCTCAACCAACTGAGCCACACCAGTCAGGGCAATAAAGAAAATATGTTTTTAAAGTGTCTAAGCAGGTATCTGTAGATGGTTTGATTTCATTGTATTATATGCACACATTTCTTCTTAATGTTTTTTCCAAGAGAGGGTTAAGAGGAAAAAAAAAAGGGGGAGGGAGAGGAGAG